CAGAGGTTTGGCTATATCTGCAAAATTCTTCACAAATCGCCGGTAATAGGAGCACAAACCCAAAAATGCTCTAACCTGCGTCTTGTCTTTTGGAACCGGCCAATCCTTGACAGCTGCTATTTTCTCTGGATCCGTGCGGATACCTTCTTCCGATACTACATACCCCAAAAAGTTGACTTGCCGTTTGAATAGTGAACATTTCTTCGGACTCAACTTGAGGTTGGCACTCTGAATTTTCATGAGCACGCGTTCCAGGTTTTGAAGGTGTTCCTCAAACGTACGGCCCACGATGATGATGTCATCCAAGTAGACCAGACAGGCATCGCCAATTAGCCCGGTGAGTACAAGTTCCATCAGCCTTTCAAACGTTGCTGGAGCATTGCACAACCCAAACGGCATTACTTTAAATTGCCACAGACCCTTTCCCGTCGAGAATGCAGTTTTCTCCTTGTCCTTAGGGTAAATTTCAACTTGCCAGTAGCCACTTTTTAGATCCAGCGTGCTAAACCACTTTACTCCCGTAAGCATGTCCAGCGTGTCATCAATTCTTGGCAAGGGATAGCTGTCCTTCTTCGTAACGTCGTTCAGACGGCGGTAGTCAACACAAAACCGTATGCTGCCATCCTTCTTATTTACCAGCACCACGGGTGAATACCATGGACTAGAGGAAAGTTCAATAACACCATCCTTCACCATTCCTTCAATCATGGTTTCTACTTCCTTTTCACGTGCTACCGGCAGTCTTCTTGGCCGCTGGCGGATAGGCAATTCTTCTCCTGTGTTTATTTTGTGTTGAACTAAGCCAGTCTTTCCTATGTCAGCATCGTTTGATGAGAATACATCGGCATACTTGAGTAACAACTTCTTTGCCTTGACCATTTCGTTCGGGGAGAGAACGCTGTGACAGTCTTCCATAAGTGTGGTCACTCTCGTTTGTGCATCCTTGCTAGGGGTCTCACTCGATAGATATCGGCACCGACGTAACCAATACACTTCCTCACAAGTACCAACCGGTCACAAAGGTTCAGCACACGTACTCCTGAGATGTCAGTGGTCCTGACCAAGGTTCGAGCTACTTTCCATGGAAGGTCATTGCTTACCCTTTCCACAAGTACACAACGGTGAGCTTGCCCAGCGTTTCGAGGAAGACTAACCGGCACAATCGTTTCTGATCTCGGCGAAAGAACAATCTTCTTAATGCTGTGCACGTTCCCTGGTAACGCACCTTCCATAAAAAGTTCCTCCTGTCCACATTTCAAAACACCTTGCTTAACGTCGATCTCACAACAATTATTCCTCATAAAGTCTAGGCCAAGGATGCAGTCGTCCATTATATTAGCCACGATGATATTATGCAGGTAGATCACGTTGCCTAGTTTCAATTCCATCTCCTTCTCTCCACGGACGGGTATACGCTGACCGGTGGCTGTTACCAAATTAATGCGTTCTCGGTTGTATGCGGAGTCCCCAAGGAACTGACTTATAAGTTGGGAACTAACAACCGTACGAGAGGCTCCAGCGTCTATGGTCAGTTTACAAGGCATTCCGTTGACCTCGCCCTTGATGATTAGACTGTTCCCATCATGGGTTTGTGAGATCGAGATCCTTGGGGCTCTTTTAACATCAGCCAGTACCCGCCCCGCAGTTCTGGCTTTTACTCGTTTCCCTGCTGCTACTGGGCGGTGCTGTTGGTCGCACTACCCTCCTGAGGTCGTTCACCTTCCCTTTCTAGGGTTCGCTTAGGGCTTAGGGCAGCTGGATCGAAGATGGCCCTTTTCCCCATAGCCTTAGCACCTAGGGCTGTATCCTTTGTTGCGGTCGCGTACTGTAGCTGCTGCAACCTCCCTGATGCGATGGGAACGATGATCCTGCCGCACGGCTTCCACCTCCAGTGCATGGGCCAAGGCGTCCTTAAGCGTGTCGTGGTGCCCGAGTCTCACAGCAGCTCTGACTTCAAGGTCGCGGATGCCGTCGATGAATGTCTGAACCAGGTTCCCTTCAATGGGCGCAGGTACTGACTGGTATACTTTTCGAACCATCTTCTCCACCTCAAGGGCCCACTGCTGCAGGTTTTCGTTGCTGCACTGCACGCGATCTTTAAGCTGCGCGCGAAAGACGTGTTCCAGGTGAGCGTCGCCATATCTCGCCTCCAAGGCCTCAAGGAGCTGCTCGTAGGTCACTTTCTTACCGAGAGCTTACAACACAGTTAAGGCTTGGTCGCGCAGGTCTAGGGTGAGTGCAGTCATGGCTTGGCTTTCATTCCAGCCGTTCGCCTCCATGACGGCCTCGAACTGGATTTTGTAGGCCGACCAGGAAGAGGTCCCGTCGAACTGCGGCACTTTGAATCCACGTAGCGAAGGTGTTGTAGCTACTACGGGAGCTGTTGTTCCATCCCCAAGTTTGAGGTCGTCCAGCGTTTTCTTCACGTCAGCCATTACGTTGTCAACCCGATTGTTTACTTGGTCGATTCGGGTTTCAGCTTCCGACAGGCGGTTGTCATGTTGAGCAACCTTATCCTTCCCCTCCCGTATCTCTTTTCAGAAGATAGCGTGAAGGTCCTTCATGAGGAGCATCTGCTCTTCCTTATCGCGTTGGAATTGCTCTTCTAAACGACGGGCCTTTCCTCGCCGGCGGGCCTGTTCCTCCCGTCCGCCCCACAGCTGATCTTCCAATCGGCGGGCATGTTCCTGCAGCATCACCATCAGAGCACCTAAGTCAGGTGCTGCAGATGTAGGAGCTACTGACGGGCCTGCAGCCGGCGGCTGGCCCTCCGACGTCTGCGGCGTTGCACCACCAAATCTTCTTTGGTCCGTCTCCTGCTGGCGTTGACTTCGGGTACGGACACCCTCCGTTTCCTCCTTAGGTAAAATCGACATGATTTTATCCCACTTCTGACACCAATTGTTACGAGCTTGAGGTTCGTGACAATAAAAATTGCCGATAAAATTACCTAAATTAACACTTTAATTTTCTTTACACAAATTAAAACTTAAAACACCAATAATTAATCACACTGATTCACTTTATTCCGCTCCGAAGCTTCGCTTGTCTCGCCAAATTCAATACTTCCCCGATCGCGTATTGCAGCGCCTTTATATAGGGCTAGGGCTCTTCCACGAAAACATCCAGAATATTCCAGAATATTCAAGTAAATACGCGCGCCAACCGACCAAGCGCAGAAAATTCGAGTGTGCGGCTTCCAGAAAGCTTAATTCTTCTGTTCGATACTAGATGGCGCTGTTGGTTGAAAAACGAGTCATGTATTTTCTGGAAAGCTCTCCTCGCTCTGTTACCCGACACCAGATGGCCCTAGTGCCAGATCTCAACTTAGCCACGCAACACTATTATTTGAAAAAAAAAATTGTCCCGCTGGGTTTCTCGCTGGTCCTTCCCAGGACGGAGGTTTCTTTTGAGAACCAGTAGTAGATGAAAATAGTGACTTTCAATAAATATTGTTTATAATTTATATTTAATAAAAAAGTTTCTTTTTCTGTAATGGATTATTAAAAAAAACAACAAGGTGATATTATATTTTTGGATGCACATGGTGGTACTGTAAAGACATTTTAATTTAAATTTTATCTTTTTAGAATCCATAATCCTCCATAAACGACGTATCAACATATTGTGAAGAATTTTGTGAACAAAATAAGTCATACTAGGCTGTATGGGCATAGATCCCTTTGCCTTATAATAAAAACATGCGATAGGCGATACTGGGCGAAGGCGATACGGCCCGGACCACGATGTAGTTGTATTTTCTATTTTCATGCTTTGATCTGCATATCTTCAATTTCTGGATTTTTGCATTCGTAAATTATATGTGTCATCTTAAATTATGGCCACGCATTAGTGCTCCTTGTTATTAAGGTTTGTGCTTAAGGTTTATTATCTCACATCTACTCTTGATAATGGAAGACCAAGAATCAACAAATATTCAAGAATTAGGACCAGTTGAAAATGCTTGGGCTATGAAAATTCCTAAATTTACTCCTGATGATAATCCTCATGGTCTCCTCGAAGAAAGTAAATTTGCTACGTTATTTCCAAAATATCGCGAGCAATATTTGAAAGAATGTTGGCCACTAGTTCAGAAAGTATTAAAAGAACACCATATTGTAGCTGAATTAGATCTTATTGAAGGAAGTTTAACTGTAAAAACAACCAGAAAAACATGGGACCCATACATAATAATTAAGGCTAGAGATCTAATGAAATTACTTTCCAGAAGTGTTCCATTTGAACAAGCTGTAAGAGTACTGGAAGATGAAATTGGTTGTGATATAATAAAAATTAATTCATTTGTGCGTAAAAAAGAAACATTTTTGAAAAGACGGCAACGTCTCATTGGTCCTAATGGAGTGACACTTAAATCTATAGAATTATTAACTGAATGTTACGTACTTGTACAAGGAAATACAGTTTCAGCAGTTGGTCCGTACAAAGGATTAGTTCAAGTTAGGCGAATTGTTGAAGATACTATGAAAAATATTCATCCAATGTATAACATTAAAAGTTTAATGATCAAAAGGGAATTGATGAAAGATCCTAGACTTAAAAATGAAAGTTGGGATAGATTCTTACCAAAATTCAAAAGTAAAAATGTACCAAGAAAACAACCAAAACAAAAAGTTAAGAAGAGTCCTTATACACCATTCCCTCCACCTCAGCCTGAAAGTAAAATTGACCGAGAATTGGCTACAGGTGAATATTTCCTTAAAGATGAACAGAAAAAAGCCAAAAGACGATATGAAAAAGAAGAAAAACAAATGCAAACAAAGAGAGCTAGAGAAGAAGAAAGAAAGAAAGATTTTATACCACCTGAAGAAAGGAGCAATGAAGTACCAACAACATCAAATGAATCTTCCATTGATATAAATATGTTTAAAGCTAAAATCAAGAAATTATCTAAGCAACATAAAGTAGGCAAAAAGGCACAAACATGATTTTGTTTAATTGTTTTCCAATAAATAAATAATACAAAAGAGTATGTACATAATTTACTTTTTCAATTTTAATTTTGGTATTTTTGTATTTTTAACAATATCTTTTTTTCCATTCATGAACGGCTGCAACACTTGAGGAATATTAATTTTCCCTCTTGGATCTTGATGTGTTTCAAGCAATGCAATTAACATCCTTGGAATTGCACAAGCTGTTCCATTCAGTGTGTGGACGTAGTTTTCAATATTGAAGTCTTTATATTTAATATGAAGTCTTCTGGACTGGTAATCAGTGCAGTTGCTGCAGCTAGATATTTCTCCATAAGAATTGCGTCCAGGCATCCAGGCTTCAATATCATATTTTCTAAAAAAAAGTTCTACAATTAAATAAACTTGACTGCTTACTCATCCACATTATATAGAAGTAAATATTATCAGTGCACACTTCTAGAAACGTAAACCAGCAGGTTTCTTATGTACGTTACGTTACGTTTCTTAGGAGGGCATTATTCTTGAAAAGGCAAATTTTCAACAGTGCACTGAAAGAGCAATCTCATCCTCAAAAACCTTAATATACATATTTATGGAACCAAATACTAATAGGATAAACTTTATGTTTAGTTGATAGATTGCTTGAGCCAGGTGCTTCAGCAATTCCATGTCTAAAAGTGTAAGTATTTTATGTGGGAAGAACCTAAGATCTAAACAGAGCTCTTCAAAAAATTCAAGTATGTCATATTACTAAAAACTAAAAATTTAAGTTACTGGCAACCATTCTTATTTAAAGTTTATTATTCAGTCACCAGTTGAAAGAAATGTTAATCTCATAACTGCCAAAACTGTGTGGCAAATCCACTGTATATTGATTCTTAATAATGATATTACAATTCCTGAAGGTAGCTAACAATTGGTTTGGCTTTCACTGCCTTTTAAGCTAAACCAACAAAGGCAAGTATCTATTACAAATAGCCACTTATTGCAGATCTGAAAATATACAGATTGAATAATTTCTTGACTACCTTATTAACGAAAAATTAAGAAGACACCTTCATGCTTACACTTATTAAAATATTCATCCATACAAAGCTTATGTTCAAAAAATTAAGCCTATATACATTCCACTGCTGAGCACAGGCCTCCACTCATTTCTGAGAGAGTTCTAGGGCAAGGAAGTTCGAAATTTTTTTTTCTTATATATCTAAGATATGCCGGTTTCCCCACAATACTTTCCTTCACCGCCGAGCATGTGCTAAATCAGCAATAAAAATTACAATTAACAATTTCATTGGTGCTGACGTGGATCAAAACCCGTTTGCACACATATTGTGAAATTTATAGTGAGCTCTAACCATCTGACCTACCATGCACAAAGCCTATGACTGGAAGTTAATAATGGGTAAAATTTAAAAATGTAAGAAGTGCTATAAAATCAGTTTAATAACAAGGTTGCATCTTATTCTTTTCTATTTACATGGAAAATATTTACTGAAACTGCTACCAGATATCTAAGATTATGTAATTTTATGAATGTTTGTAAGTTGAAAAAATAATATGATACACTTACCGATAGGCAGGTGCACCTAATTCATGGGGTGGCATATCTAAAACTCTCATATGAATTCCCAGCGGTGAAAATAGCTCTTCTTGAACATTTCTTATGTATTCCAACATATCGTCTGATTGTTCAGTGGTAGTTATTGCAAACATCTCAACTTTTGTGAACTGATGAACTCTAAGAGATAAAGAATTATTAAACTATTTTAAAATTTTAGGACAAAAATAAAAATCTCACTGTATCTTTTTCCGTAAAATGAAGAATCCATGACTCACTTTTCTTAAAATTAACAATAGTGAGGAACATGATGAAGAATAATTTAAATGTCAATAATATTTCAATCTTTGTTATTAGCCGATATCAAAAAAGAGGAGGTTCTCAATTCGGCTGTATGTTTTCTTAATCCACTAATTTTGAAAATCTTTATTAAACATTTTTTTATTTTTTTGGGTGTATTTACACCATTGGATAAAAAATGCAATTATAATAAAAAGTAATTTACAAAATCATTTCACATCATTCTTACTGTACTTATAGTAGAGCCATGCTGCAGGTATGTTATGGTGTAGCACAAATGGCTCGGCTTGACCGGGGAAGGACCACACTCTCACAGAATACCAGCGTAAAATAATAGCTTTACACTGCCGTTTCGTATGGTGAGTGTAGAGATCCGGAGACCCTTTTTTACTGGAAACAAGGCATTCCATCTTGGTCCTTGGAGGTGACAATGCATCTTCGTTTTGATTCTTAATCGAGGATAAATGTAGATGTCTATGTGCTTCAGCATTCACTTACCATCAGGTAGACTGTGTGCTCATTTGTCACCCTTATCCTATAAAAAAACATTCTGAATTTGGGGCTTTAATTCTTCTATAAGTTATATCTTGGCACTAACTAAAAATATAAAATTCTTTTATTTTTTTAAGTGAAAACTTCTTTACGCACATTGAGCACTTTTGAGATAGGGTAAAAGCACTGGACTCGCGTGACAGTCACCACTCAGATACATATGTAAATATATACAAAAAACAAATATGTATGTAATATATATATATATATATTATGTGTGTGTGTGTGTGTGTGTGTGTGTGTGTATATATATACACTCATATATATAGTTTTTAGAAGTCAGCTTTTATTTTTTTTGTTATTTTTTCTCTATCATGTGTAATAATAGTTTTGGTATGTATAGTATTACTGTGTGTAGTGCATTTTGAATTAATGACATAAATTTGACATAAAATATTGTCTAAAACTAGGAAGTGTAATAATGAAAACCATACCTGTATGTCCCTCTCTCCTCATTTACATTGGATGTTTCTGCTCGATAGCACCTGCTTACTGCAGCTAATTTTAAAGGAAGTTTTTCTATATAATGAACTGAATTTGCCAACAGTCCAGCCAAAGCTATTTCAGCTGTGCCAGACAAATACATATCATGTCCATGATAAGCGGAGTCTAAAGAGTATACCTGTAAATTATAAAGAAATTAGTTTTTGCTTAAAAACAGCTATAATTGTTCTTAATTTAATCTTAAACCTCAACAACTCAATGTTAATAGGTACTATATCTATATCACTTCACCATATTAGTGTACCAATATTCTAGTATTGGCAGTAATCTTTGTTTTTGTTCATTGTGTAAGGAGGACCTGCCCTTATCCATAGAAGCAAGGCAGACATGGTATCCATTTTATTTCAGGGAAAGCCTTTCATTGAATGCAAACCAAAGAAACAATAGGATAATGTTGGTAGAGGTAGGTGGCCTGCTTTTTATAGTTCATAAAAGATAGCTTGATCTCTGCGACAGCTGTCAGTAAAAATCACGCCTATGAAGTCCTGAATTTCTTAGTAGTACAGACAGTACTTGTCAATGTCATACTTTATGGGCATGCACTAATTAGGTTGGCTTTTATGAACCATAGATGTTTCTATAAGTAATCTCGGCACATTACTTGCTTTACATATATCCAGGCCTAATCTTCAAATATAATTTTAGTCTAGCCTTTTGTAGTATTTACAGACAAGGTGGCAAATTAACCCATGGTATGACTTTAGTTTTGTGGGTGTGAGATAAAGCCTTACGTGAGGATTCTTTGGTATCCTTTCAACTTAAGAGCACACTGTTTAAGATAAAGGCAATACTACTTTCAGAGCAAAGACAGTATTCTTGTCGCCCTAATACTAGCAGCATAATACCAAGCATATATTAAGACAATTTTAGTTTTAAATTTTTTTACTGTTGTAAATTAAGTATACATGTTATATAAAGTATCTAGCTCTATATTTATATATCCAAATGATAGAAACAGCCCTCCTATAATTTCTGGAAAAGTTTTGTGGCAGGAAAATCAAGTTGCCTAAATGTGTGATAACAGACTTCACATATCCTAAAAATATTGTTTACTAAACTCTTGAGAAATCAACAAGGTTTGACCTCTGTTTACTGAAATGAAATCTAAGATTAGCACTTATCTTCCGAGCTGTCATTACTCTTCATTTACATATGTATGTAAGTAAACACATTTTTGTCAACTTATCATATAAGTAATATAAAATAGCATATTAATTACGTTATTACTATTTACCTGTGTTCGTTCACTATTGACTGCCATGCCACAACTCTTTAATAAGTTACTTGGTAAAATATCAGGGACAGATATAAGTAAAAAATTTTTGCTCAGTAATGAACTAACTGTATACTTAATTAAAGCTTCCTCTAATTCTGCTAGATCACCATAATAGTAATAACTTTTATTACCACATGTGTGTCCTAACTTATCAGTCCTCATCAAGTTTAATCGCTCCGTTATTTCACTAAATTCTAATGGTGTAAATGAGCCAAATTCCCTTTTTTGATTGATTTCATGTATTAATTGTGGTTCTTCACCATATTTTAATACAACCGGATGTGTTCTATTTGGTAAATTACTTAGTTCTTCATATAATTTTAATTTTACATTTGCATATAAATTATCACAGGATGGAGTTAATTTTAATGTGTTATACAAATTTAAAACTCTATCTATATTACCTACACCTTTTCGAATTTTAATGTTATGTTTAATTTCATTTGTATTTTTTACATTGCAGTAATAACCTATGTCAATATCGGGAACTGCAAATGAACAGATTAGTCTAACAGGTTTGAACTTCCAACCACATTTGTAAATATTACGCGGAAACATAGCAAGCGATTTATTGACAGTATTTTCAAAAAGATAATACTATACTATTTTATATTTATATATAATACAAGACAAGCAAAATATTTTTATGTATGTTTATAATTTTCTTATGTATGTAATATCCAATAAATCCTAATTATAGTTACTTGTTTGAACTCTTTTGAGTAACATATATTATTCTGTCACAAGTGTAAAGTAATCTCAGGGACTCAGGCTAAGTTATCTAAGGATCTGATGTTGTAAATATAGTTCAGAGTTGGTACTTTATGAATCACTTCATATACATAATTCTGTTACTTCTTTTTTCTTTAGTTATTTCATTTACTTAGTAGTTGGGTACTTATTCAAATCAAGCATCCTAATTTTATGTCATGAACAAGCTAAGAGTAATATTACTCATGTAAATACTTAATGTACTTTGCGAGTCTGAGCAATGATATTCTATACGGCGATAACGATAATAATAAGTCTAAGCTCTGTCCAGTTCTGTTTACAGAGCTGTAAGCACCAAGATAATCTGTCCAAGTCCAAGGCTCCCGTCCGTAGAAGTAGAAGTAGAATTAGTAATAGTATAATATGTACAATGTATACAATACAACAATTTCAAAACACTTGAAAATAGAATGTGTCAACTGTCAGTGTCATCTGTCACTGACAAAGGCACCAGTTTTTTTTTAATATATAGAAGGGAGGGCAAGCAAGCATGCGGCTCATCATCATCATCATCATTACAGCCCTTTACAAGTCCACTGCTGAACATAGGCCTCCCCCAAGGTATGCCACAAAGCACGGTCCTGAGCCACCTGCATCCATCGACTTCCTGCATGTCTTACCAGGTCGTCACTCCATCTAGTGGGGCGTCGCCCTACACTTCGTCTACCGGTACGAGGCTGCCACTCGAGAACAGATAATTGACTTCAAAAGTACTTGATAGTGTATGTAAAAGTATTATAACAATGCAATGTAATAGTCTTAACTACATAATTTTCAGATACATTTCACGTGTATTCATAATAGAACATTTCGTAAGTTAATTTTGAAATGAGTTACAATCATTGTTCGAAGTAATCTCAAACCTCCATAATCCATATACATATATACCTTTGACTTTAAAAAAAGTTGTCACAAACCGCTTACGCGGCTGGAATCTGGGATTGCAATTTGTATTTTGATCTGTCCGTTGTTATGGTGCTGATGACGATTTATGTTCTCATTAATATTATTTGTTTTGTGCATAGCTTAATAAGTAATGAACTAAGTAAATTTTCGGCTTAACTGAAATTCGGCATAATGTTTAGCCAAATATAAAAAAATTAAACGAATGTAGCTAAAATAATAAAAAATAAAATTAAAAAATGTTAATCAGGCCTCCCCCAAGGTATGCCACAAAGCACGGTCCTGAGCCACCTGCATCCATCGACTTCCTGCATGTCTTACCAGGTCGTCACTCCATCTAGTGGGGCGTCGCCCTACACTTCGTCTACCGGTACGAGGCTGCCACTCGAGAACAGATAATTGACTTCAAAAGTACTTGATAGTGTATGTAAAAGTATTATAACAATGCAATGTAATAGTCTTAACTACATAATTTTCAGATACATTTCACGTGTATTCATAATAGAACATTTCGTAAGTTAATTTTGAAATGAGTTACAATCATTGTTCGAAGTAATCTCAAACCTCCATAATCCATATACATATATACCTTTGACTTTAAAAAAAGTTGTCACAAACCGCTTACGCGGCTGGAATCTGGGATTGCAATTTGTATTTTGATCTGTCCGTTGTTATGGTGCTGATGACGATTTATGTTCTCATTAATATTATTTGTTTTGTGCATAGCTTAATAAGTAATGAACTAAGTAAATTTTCGGCTTAACTGAAATTCGGCATAATGTTTAGCCAAATATAAAAAAATTAAACGAATGTAGCTAAAATAATAAAAAATAAAATTAAAAAATGTTAATCAACATTTAAAGGAAGAGTACTATTAGTGTAAATGTCCGGATATGTGACTTAGTGACTAAATAACTTAGTAACTGGGCTAGGTATCTGACTATGGAATTATTACCTACATATGTGCTGTTATAGGAGGCTTAGCTAGCCTACCCAAGCCAAGACGAATGTTATATATTACACGTAATTAGAACGTAAGATTTCATCTCTTTCCCAAGGGTATTAAAGTGATACTTCACCTCATCGGGTCTCTTGCCATCGTTCTTTAATATTCCACAAGGTTCTAAAACCAAGGGAACATTTATAGAGACAAAGCTTTTCGGATCATGTTTGGTTGTTCAAAAAACTGTGACAAGAAAAGCTACCTGCACTTTTCTTACATGAAAGTTCACGGAACCCAAACTTATCGACGCTGCTACCACAAGGGGTACTGGCGAGGTTGACAAATATCCGTTCCTAGACGGATTCCTACGGCAATGCGCAAGCTTTCCCTATCAAGCAATGTGCCTTGCCTCATCAATGTACAGGTCTACTTTATTATTTACTAGCCGTTACCCGCGGCTTCGCCCGCATGGTCACTGGGAAATGAACTATCCATTGCTTTTTGAATTGAAAGAAAACTGAGTTTTATAGATTTGTCAGAGATGCAGCTATTAAAAGGAAACTGAGTAAAATTGATTCGTCAGCCTATTTAAATGTTTTGAAACGCAGCGTATAGGAAAGCATGAAAATAGTCTATTTATTCCAAATGGAAATGGGATATTTTTTAATTAAAGGAAACTGAGCATAATTATCCGTCAGGGATGCAGACTTTTGAAAAGAAACTGAGCTAAATTGATTCGTCAGAGATGCAGTTTTCTTAATTGAAAGGAAACCAAGCCAAATAAAAGATTCGTCAGAGATGCAGCCTTTTGAGTTGAAAGGAAACTGAGCTTAATAGGTCCGTCAGAGGTGCAGCATTTGGAATTGCAAAGAAACTGAGCTAAATAGGAAATTTTGAATTGAAAGGGAAGATTTTCGGCTTAACTGAAATTCGGCATAATGTTTAGCCAAATATAAAAAAATTAAACGAATGTAGCTAAAATAATAAAAAATAAAATTAAAAAATGTTAATCAACATTTAAAGGAAGAGTACTATTAGTGTAAATGTCCGGATATGTGACTTAGTGACTAAATAACTTAGTAACTGGGCTAGGTATCTGACTATGGAATTATTACCTACATATGTGCTGTTATAGGAGGCTTAGCCAGCCTACCCAAGCCAAGACGAATGTTATATATTACACGTAATTAGAACGTAAGATTTCATCTCTTTCCCAAGGGTATTAAAGTGATACTTCACCTCATCGGGTCTCTTGCCATCGTTCTTTAATATTCCACAAGGTTCTAAAACCAAGGGAACATTTATAGAGACAAAGCTTTTCGGATCATGTTTGGTTGTTCAAAAAACTGTGACAAGAAAAGCTACCTGCACTTTTCTTACATGAAAGTTCACGGAACCCAAACTTATCGACGCTGCTAC